ATAGAATAGAATAGAATAGAATAGAATAGAATAGAATAGAATAGAATTCAATTCTTTATTAGCCAATTCTTTATTAGCCAAGTGTGATTGGACACACAAGGAATTTGTCTTGGTGCAAATGCTCTCAGTGTATATAAAAAAGAAAAGATTCCTTTGTCAAGAATCATAAGGGTCAACCCTTGCTTCCTTGTTTCTTTCTCTTTCCTACTTTCTTCCTTGTTTCCTTCGTTGTTTCTCTTCCTTCCTTGTTTGTTTCTTTTCTTTTCTTTTCTTCTGTTTCCAAGGAACTGTGTCGCCTCGAATCCAAAACGGGAAGAAGCTCTGAACATCGCCAGGACCAGCTAAAAGAGGGAGCTCCTCCATTGCACAGCACTTCTGCCACGGCAAGCTCCGTACCTCCCCAAGCCGCCAAGAAGGCAGGAGCGGGAGAACCTGCTCACAATAAAAACAACCCAAAGTACGTTGAGAACCTACAAGGCCGGTTTTCACGGAAGGCTCTCTGTCCCTTTGAATGCCTTAATTAAGCCTTTCTTCTTCCCCCAGGAAAGAGACGATGGCAGCCCGGAGCGTGAACAGTTCCCCAGTGGACAAGAAAGAGAAGGAGAACGCCTTCCAAGTCAGCCTCCCTTCAGCTTTCAACCTGCTGACAGCCTCCAGGCAGCACAGTCCCATTCTGATCTTTCAGAGTTGTTGGTCATCCAGGTGAGCGTCATCACACCACGAGTCCGGGCGCTGTTTGTTTTTAGAGTGGAAAAGCCACGTTTTGGCTTTCATCCAAGCGTGCGCCGGGACGAAAGCTACGTGGCCAGCAAATATTGACGGGGATTAGCAGAGGTGGCTAAGCGGACCGCTTTGATCAAAGGTGGCCAAAAAAAACTGCAAACACTTTTATTTCTACCCAGAAACCATTTCTGGACTTGGTGCTTGAGGTGTGTGTTGAGGGGAGAGAAACTTTCAATTTTGGGTGTTACGGATTCGATAGAAATAGCTAGTTTAAACTAATAATGTAAAAGTAAAAAGTTGGAGCTCAAGCTCCTTGCTGTCTCCTTGCTCACACAGCAAGTACTGTTTTAGTTTCCAAACAGCCCTCAACTCTCTCACACACTGACAGGATGCTAGTCAGATGAATACCAATGGATGCTGGTAGGCAGAGGCAGAATTTTTTTTTTCCCCTTCTTTTCCTCCCCCAAAACTAAGCCTGACCACATAGCTCCCTAGCAAAGCACGGATATCCATATATATATATATATACACACACATATATACATATGATTCTTGATTCTCTTTCTTTCCTTTCCTCGGCCTCAGGAGCGTGTCTCCAAACGTTTCGAACAGGTCTTCTCCGCTCACTTTGAACGCCACAAACTCTTCCAGCCGTCCAGACTGCCCAGATCCGTTTGCAAATGGAGTAGACATTCAGATTAGCAATCTGGATTACCGACTTTCCCGAAAAGAGCTGCAACAAACTTTGCAGGATACCTTCGCTAAGCATGGCGAGGTAAACATCGAGGCTGCCGTTGATGCTTACTTTACAGTGTGTGTGTGTGTTTTTTAAATTGTCTAAATGTCTTTTAAATTGTTCAATTGCTTTAGCAGTTTAGAACCTGGCCGTTTTAGTGGTTCCATTTTAGAACCTGACCGTTTTACTGGTTCCATTTTAGAACCTGACCGTTTTACTGGTTCCATAAGTACGTCAGTACAAATTGCTGTGATTCCATTTTGAAGATCGTGCTAGCCTCCAGTTTTGCTTTCTTTTAACATTAGCAATAGCACTTAAGATTTATATACCGCTTTGCAGTGCCTTTAAGCCCTCGCTAAGCGGTTTACAGAGTCATTGTCAGGATTCCGACCACCCCATTTAAATCATGAGTCTCTAGCCAAACTCCAACAAGATTTATTGGGAGTCAGAAGATGTGGCACTGCCTGGGTGTAGCCGACTCTGAGACACCTAATTCATTGTCACCCTTGACCCTGGTTTTCCTCCCACCCCCTGGGTGTATCATAATTCATATTCTCCAGTGGGACACATCCATAGTCAAGAGTCACCAATCAAGTTCTCAAGTTAGAATTTTGCAGTGGCAGAAACTTCGGTCACCTAGAAACTATCTTTGAAAACATTTATGGAATGCAAACTGCCCACAGCTCCCCCTCCTCCCTTTCTGTTGGCAACTCTAAAAGACCACAGAAATATTTTATGAGTTGACCGTCAGCCTCTTGCCCCCCGACAATCTGGGTCCTCATTTTACCCACCTCGGAAGGATGGAAGGCTGAGTCAACCTTTTGATATGATTTTTGTCTTTTCTTTTTTTTTTAACCAGGTAAAGAATGTAGAACTTAGTCCTCACACTGACTATCAGTTGAAGGCTGTCGTTCAGATGGAGAACCTTCAAGAGGCCATCACTGCTGTCAACAGTTTGCACAGATACAAAATTGGTAACAAGAGGATCCAGGTCTCCTTAGCCACAGGAGCGGCCAGCAAATGTCTGCCACTGATTAGGTAAAACGACAGCTACTATAAGATCTTCCCGTAGCGCTTCCCGTCTCTGAACTGAAAACATTCTGTGGATTAGAGCAGGGGTCCTCAAAGTAGAACCTTTGCTACTTTTTTTCTTAATTAATAAATTTTATTGAATAAACTTTAAAAACAATTGAACACAGTGCGACTTTCTTGGCCGTCATTTTGGCCATACAAGCTAGAGTATAAAGATACACATAACAGTTATTTTCCTTTTTCCCTTATGTTGTTAGTATAGTGCTAGCTGCATATTATTTCTGTTTACATTTATATACAATTATATGCATATTCACCCCCATCTTTTATACTCATGCATTCGTATCATCTCATATTTGTCCATCGTATTCCATTCTCTTTGGTTTACAAAACTTTAACTTTTCATTCCTATAAAGCATCAACCCCTCCTTTCTTTTTCCTTGACTCTGGCCATTGAGACATTTTACTCCAGACTTCATATTACTCTTGTCTCACCCTTCTCTTTGATTTCTACAGTTAGTCTGTCCATAGAACCTTCGCTACTTGCCAGCCTAGTTGCTTTCCAAGAACAGTCTCCCAGTTCTGCAAAGAAAGAAAAGAATAACAGTGGCACCCAAAGCTGTTCCTTAATGAGCTCTTTGTCTTTTTTTTACAGTTCAGAAGCAATATCGATTCTTCAGGACGCCCCAGCCTGCTGCCTCCCCCTTTCCAAATTCACCGAAATTTACGAGAAAAAGTAAGTGGGAAACTTCGCACCCAATGCTCTGCTGAGTTTGAGGAACTTGTGCGGTCATGTTTGATCCAGAGTTTAATCCCTGCTGCAGGTAGTCTTCGACTTAACAACAGAACAGTTCGTTTAGTGACCATTCAAAGCTAAAACGGCACTGAAAAAAGGGACTTAACGGCCATTTTTCACACTCGCGACCATTGCAGCGTCCCCGTGGTCATGTGAACAAAATCGTGTTGCCTGGCAGCTGACTCATATTTATGACTGTTTGCCGTGTCCCCGGGGGTCACGTGATCCCCTTTTGTGACCTTCTGACGAGCAAAATCAAAGCCAGGTTCGCTTAACAACCAGGTGACTAACTTATCAACTGCAGGCTCTCAGGACTCCAACAAATCTACCCCCATTCAAAGCATAAGTCTCTCGCCGCATCTCTCAGAGAAAAGAATATTGATTTATTAGAAGTGGCTATGTTAGCGTTAGCTGGATGCAGCCAATACTAAAATACATCATTTATTTCCCCCTTAACCCTGGTGTTCCCCCACCCCACCCCCTGGATGTATATTCTCCAATGGGACACATCCATCGCCAAGAATCCTCAATCATGCTCTCCAGTAATATTCTTGCGCTCCAACAACTTTGGGCTGCCAGGGCAATTATCTAGGCACTTAAGGAAAGCACTGTTTTCCCCCTCTCCCTTTTTCTGGCAGCTAAAAAGACGAAAGGGGTATCTTTTTAGTTGACGCAGTGATTCCCTTAACCACCACGGCAAGAAAAATTGTAAAGTGGGGCCAAACTCACTTAGAAATGTCTTGCTTAAACAGCAGCAATTTTGGGGCTCTGTTGTGGTCATAAGTCGAGGACGATCTTATATTCCAGGAGGTCTGTAATAGCTGCAGATTTCTTATGTTGCTTTTTTGTTTGTTTTCATATCACGGAGCACTTTCTGTTTCCGGGTCTCTAGGTTCGGACACAAGCTGAATGCCTCGGACTTGCACAAGTTAACAGACATCCTAGCGATCCGCGATCAAGGCAACGGTTGGCAGGTTTGCCTCTTACCCAGCAGCCAAGCGAGGCAGAGCCCGTTGGGGTCCTCGCAGTCTCACGAGGGTTCGTCTGCGAACTGCAGCCCCGTCATCTTTGAGGAGCTGGAGTATCACGAGCCTGTCTGCAAACGGCACTGCGTGAACAAAGACTTCAGGTGAATTTGCTTCCCCCTTCCTTCTCTGCAATCAGTCTAATTTGGACTCCTGGAGCCACGTGGTGGCGCAGTGGTGAGAGTGCGGTACTGCAGGCTACTTCTGCTGACTGCCGGCTGCCTGCAGTTTGGCAGTTCGAATCTCACCAGGCTCGAGGTTGACTCAGCCTTCCAGCCTTCTGAGGTGGGTCAAATGAGGACCCAAAATTGTTGGGGGCAATTTGCTGACTCTGTAAACTGCTTAGAGAGGGCTATAAAAGCACCGCGAAGCGGTATGTAAGTCTAAGAGCTCTTGCTATTGCCCTCCTTCCTTCCTTCCATGGTGTGTAGTGGGTAGAATGCAGCATTGCAGACTAAGTCTGCCCACTGTCAGGAGTTCAATCCCAACCGGCTCAAGGTTGACTCAGCCTTCCATCCTTCTGAGGTGGGTAAAATGAGGACCCAGATTGTTGGGGGCCAGAGGCTGACTCTATAAACCGCTTAGAGAGGGCTGTAAAAGCACTGTGAAGCGGTATATAAGTCTAAGTGCTCTTGCTCTTGCTTTTAGTTATTGCATAAGTTGGGAAGATAAACTTTCAAGCATAAGCATTTAAACTGCGGGATAGTTATATTTAAACATTTAAACTGGGGGATAGTTATATAGGCATATTTTCTTTGCTCAGCTTCCTATAAAACTGAACTTGGTTGTTGGTGTTTTTTTTTTTTTTTTAAGCGAACACGACTTTGATCCCGACTCCTACAAAATCCCCTTCGTGATTCATTCTCTGAAGGCATTTGCTCCTCAAGTCCATAGCTTGTTACAGACCCATGAGGGGACAGTACCACTACTCAGGTAAAACAACAAAAAACAAAAAATTGCTCGAACACCCAAAGCTTCAGCAAAATGTATATTAAAAATTGTTCCCATCCATCCCTGACTCTCTCTCTCTCTCTCTCTCTCTTCCATAACGGAGCCGGTTCTCTGCCATAAAAGGACAGTTAGCAGTGGAGAGGCATGCCAGGAACTGCATTTCTGCAGCCAAATGGATGTGTACCAGACACACACACACACACACATACACCCACTTCAAAGAAGTGCTGAAATTACATCCTGTTTTGCACAGAACGCTTTGAACATTAGGGCAAATCAGAAACCACAGAGAATTGCACTTCACTTAACCCCATTCTTAATTTGCATTTTCTGATCGGCTCTGTTGCTGTTTTCCTCTTGCCTGGATTGCAGGTTAATTGATGTCCTTATTCCATGCTTCTGTCCTTTTTCTCTCCCTCTCTCTTTCCTTCCTTCCTTCTTCCCCCCCGTCCCCCCCGTCCCCCCACCCGATTGCATTTAGTGTTTGAGAAAGAATCCTTTTTTTCTGGCGTTTTAATTTTCTATTTCACCCCCCTTTCCTCTGTCATTCTCCTTTGCTGAAATTGTAAATCCTCAATCTGTAATAGAATGGTCGCGCAGAGAGGTTGGCTGTTAAAACAGCTTGCAAACGGTTGCTCTATATTTATCAACATCCATATGTATTTCCTGTATGTCATTTGATCTTAGTGCCCTTTAAGAAGCTAGCTCCTATTAATGAGAAGCAGGCAAGCCTCAGTCATCTCTGCATCTCTGCATCTCTTGCCAACAGTTGCTTGACATGGTGCCAAGTTTTTGTGAAATCAAACCCAACCACGCAACCCAGCCATGCGTAGCTTTAATCTGAAGGTCTGATTTGCTGAATAGAAAAGAAAGGATTGCCAATTTCTTGCCGATAAACACCAGAAAGCTATGAAACCACATAAACCCCTCAAATTGAGGTTACCTTGGTGCTCTTTGAGCTTTCTTGCAGAAGTCCTGTTTCAAGAGACTCTGGAGCTGAAGAAGCGTCTTGGATGAGAAGCGAAACGTCTTCAAAGAAAAACCAAGAAAGTCCAGTTGCCTCTTGAAAAAGGACCTTTGGGACAACCATGACCTGAAGGACTGAGAACCTCCATACATTTATTTTCTTGCAGGCATTTTATTACCCAAACTAGGTAACATCATAGAATAGAATGAAATAGGAATAGGATGGCATGGCATGGCAGGGCAGGGCAGGGCAGGGCAGGGCAGGGCAGAGCAGAGCAGAGAATAAGAATAGAATAGAATAGAATAGAATAGAATAGAATAGAATAGAATAGAATAGAATAGAACAGAATTCTTTATTGTCCAAGTGTGATTGGACACACAAGGAATTTGTCTTGGTGCAAATGCTCTCAGTGTACATAAAAAGAAAAGATACATTCATCAAGAGTCAAGAATCATTGCGTACAACACTTAATGATAGTCATAGGGTACAATAAGAATTAGAATTAGAATTAGAATAGAATAGAATAGAATAGAATAGAATAGAATAGAATAGAATAGAATTCTTTATGAGCCAAGTGTGATTGGACACACAAAGAATTTGTCTTGGTGCAAATGCTCTCAGTGTATATAAAAGAAAAGATACATTCGTCAAGAGTCAAGAATCATCAGGTACAACACTTAATGATAGTCATAGGGTACAAGAAGCAATCAAATCACACTAGGAAACAGTCCATATAAAATCATAAGGATACAAGTGACAAAGTTACAGTCATACAGTCACAAGTGGGAGGGGATGGGTGATAAGGAGGGATGAGAAGATTAACAGTAATAGTAGTGCAGACTTTGTAATAGTTGAACAGTGTCGAGTGCACCGATGATATTACCTAGTTGGGTAATGAAACATCTGCAAGAAAACTTCAAGCTCAGAGTGCCCCAAGGAGCCTCATTTTGACCCTGAGCTACAAATACTCCCCTTTATTGCTACTTCTCAAATTATTAATTGTGGATTATGAATAGAATAAAACCATCTTCTGCTTATAAAATGGCTCATACATCTAAAGGTAGTGTGGTGTAGGTGGAAAGTCTGAGCATGGTTTTCAGTCCATTCTTACATCCTGGAAGATTCCTGGCTCCTCACTCACTTTCAGCCGAACCCATTTTATGTGGATAAACCTGGCAACAGAGCATTGTGGGTTATATCTTACGCTCCTTAAAGAACAGGTAGAGATGCATCCAACTCTTCAAATTAATATTCAGAACCGATGTGAGTCTGCAATGCCCACATTCAGGATCCTTGCTGGGTTTTTCTGGTTTTTTACTAATCCATTATCGCTGCAGTTATGATCCAATCCAAAGCGTACCGCTGCTTATTTTGATCAGAAGATAGGAAAGGGGTGCTGTTGTTTGTGTCTGATCTCCAGCAGTTACCCGAAGATTGTTCACAAGCAGAGGAATATAAATAGTCCTCTAAGCCACCGCATCCTGGAAGGGGTGCGGCGGCTCAGTGGCGAAAACGCTGAGCTTGTCGATCAGAAAGGTTGGCGGTTCGAATCCCTAGCGCCGCGTAATGGAGTGAGCTCCGGTTATTTGTCCCAGCTTCTGCCAACCTAGCAGTTCAAAAGCATGTAAAAATGCAAATAGAACAATAGGGACCCTTTTGGTGGGAAGGGAACAGCGCTCCGTGCGCCTTCGGTGTTTAGCCATGCCGGCCACATGACCACGGAGACGTCTTCGGACAGCGCTGGCTCTTTGCCTTTGAAACGAAGATGAGCACCGCCTCCTAGAGCTGGAAACAACTAGCACGTACGTGCAAGGGGAACTTTTACCTTACAAGCATTGAGCTAATTTTCTTTCCCACCTCCCCCCCTTTTTTTTATAGCTTCCAAGACTGTTATGCTTCCGAATTTAACAGTCTAGAAATGGTTCCAGAAGGCCACGGGGGCGTCCCTCTGGAGCACCTTATCTCCTGCGTTCCTGGTGTTAATATTGCTACGGCACAGAACGGCATCAAAGTTGTAAAATGGATACATAATAAACCGCCACCTCCCACCACAGGTATTTTATGTTACTCCTTGGTCGCTGTCTTAGCTGGCTACCTAAACTTGACCACTCGTCCCATTTCTCCCCCATGGTCTGAATTTGCAAAGACGACCCGTGAAGCGGGAGACGGTCCCACCGATATGAGATTTGGTAGAATTATTCTCTTCCCAGCCTACCAAGATTGCTCACTGGCAATATTAGAATATAATTTTTAATAGAAGGATTAAAAATCACAGATAGAAAGACTAGAAGTTTACAGATGTTAGGCATTTTCTTTTATGTGTTTTTCAAATAATGAGAATAATTTAAATTTGATAGAAATTACTAATACTCTTAGCGGGAATTGGATCAATATGAATGATACCTAATATTAATTTTGTTTATAATAAAGAAATGTTTAGATTGAACAAGAAAGAAATGGATGAAAATAGAGACGAAGATGAGGGGTTAGGTGGTTTTTAGTTTATGTATGTTTAAACACTATAACGAGGGTTACTTAAATGTGACCAATGTGATAGAGGTTACTAATATTGTTATGGTGAACTTGATTAATATGAATGATACCCAGAACTAACTCTGTTCACACACAAAATGGATGTATATTGGGGGGGGGGGGGGGAGGGATTGTCCACTGGCAACCATGAACTTTTTGGACTCACATTTTGTGTGTTTGTTTGTACTCATTTGTATCCCGCCTTTATTATTTTTATAAATAACTCAAGGCAATGAACATACCCAACAGATCTTCCTCTTCCTATTTTTCCCCACAACAACAGCAACCCTGTGAGGTGGGTTGGGCTAAAAGAGAAGGGACTGGCACAAGGTCACCCCAGTCAGGGATGGGATTCTACCGGTTCGCACCTATTCGCTAGAACTGGTTGTTAACATTCTAAGCAGTTCGGAGAACCGGTTGTTGGAAGAAATTACAGGGCTAATCCTGTAAGGAAGGCAGGAAGGAAACATTCTGGTGTTGCTTACAGAAACTGCCTCTCCGTTAACCCTTATTGCATTCTTGGCAGGACTAGACTTCCTGTCTCTGGAACCTCTCTGGAGTTTTTTTCCCCCTCCTTTGTTGGTACTTTGCTTGTGTGGAGGGACCATTCAAAGTTACAATGGCACTGAAAAAAGTGACTGATGACCATTTTTCACACTTAGGAGGAGGAGACGCGTGCCTCGATATGAGTGATATTAAGTTGGCCACACCCAGCCAATAACATGACCACCAAGCCATGCCAACCAACTTACCCCCCCCCCCACAGAACCAGTTGTTAAAAAATTTGAATCCCACCCCTGCCCCCAGCCAACCTTCATGGCTAAGGAGGGACTTGAATTCACCCTCTCCCGCTTTCAAGCCTAGTGCCTTAACCACTTTATAAGCTTGCTTTCAGACAGCCCAATGTTCTCTTGGAGTTTGGGACTCCAGGTCCATGGGTGGGCTGGTGGGGGTTTGCAGGGGGTCAGATTATTCTTTTTTTCCTTTTCTCATTTCCAGTAAACGGGATTAGTTTCTCAAAGAATTGGGACCACACGTTAAGTTTCAATTAAGATGATATGTTGCTCATGCCTACACACAAGAATCTACATGCCTACACAGAAGAATCTAGCCAACTAACGGTCATCCCTAAACAGGCACTAGATGAAAGTGAACAAAATTCAAAATGGGGTTGGACGTAGACCACTGATGGGAACATAAAGACTCCAGGCTGATTCCTCTTTTGACTCCTCCCTCAGGCAGTTAGTCTTACAAATGTACGATGTAAAAAAAGATGTTGAGACTCTAGAAAGAGTACAGAGAGGGCAACGAAGATGATTAGGGGACTGGAGGTTAAAACATATGAAGAACAGTTGCAGGAACTGGGCCTGGCTAGTCTGATGAAGAGAAGGACCAGGGGAGACAGGATAGCAGTCTTCCAATATCTTAGGGGCTGCCCCAAAGGAGATGGAGTCAAGCTATTCTCCAAAGCACCTGAAATTAGGACAAGAAGCATTGGATGGAAACTAATCAAGGAGAGACGCAACCTAGAACTAAGGATGAATTTCCTGACAGAACAATTAATCAGTGGAACTACTTGCCTCCAGAAGTTGTGAAAGCTCCAACGCTGTAAGTTTTTAAGAAGAGATTGGACAACCATTTGTTTGAAGTAGTGTAGGGTTTCCTGCCTAGGCAGGGGGTTGGACTAGAAGACCTCCAAGGTCCTTTTCAACTCCATTATTCTATTCTATTCTAAATGGGGTACTTCCTCCAATTTCTGCTCTTTGACTATGATGTTTGTTGCCTTCTCCTGTAAGTAAAGATGCCTCCTTGGTCTTCTTTCCTCTGTTCCAGAGCCTTGGCTGCTCCGTTCAAAGAGCCCCGTGGGCAACCCACAACTCATCCAGTTCAGTAGAGATGTGATTGATCTCCTTAAAAACCAGCCCTCCTGTATTATGTCCGTCAGCAAGTTCATCCCCATGTACCATCACCATTTCGCCAAGCAATGCCGCGTGTCTGATTATGGGTATTCCAAGTTGATAGAGCTGCTGGAGTCAGTGCCTCACGTCCTGCAGGTGAGTTCAGGTGTTCTGCTCCTTGCCAGAGATGTTGGCCTCCAAAGGGCTGGCATCATGCGAAGATGAAAGAAGTGGCTCTAGGCGGCTTACAACTCACTTGCCACCTTGCTTTGCATCAGAAACGCTGCTCCGAATGGTCATAAAATTGAGGAGTCCTTACAATTCCTATGTCAGCGGTCTGAGTAATGCACTCATAGAAAACAAACTCAGGGGCACTCAACTTTCTCAAAGAACCGTTTCTTGGATATGGCAGTAAGGGTGTAGCAGCAGCCAAAAAAGCTAATGCAATCCTACGTTTCAGTAACAGAGGGATACAATCAAGATCAAGGGAGGTACTAATACCACTCTGTAAAGCCTTGGTAAGACCACACCTGGAGTACTGCAGTTTTGGTCACCACACTATAAAAAAGATGTTGAGACTTTAGAAAGAATACGGAGAACAGCAACCCGGATGATTAGGGGACTGGAGGCTTAAAACATATAAGGAACGGTTGCAGGAACTGGGCCTGGCTAGTCTAGTGAAGAGAAGGACCAGGGGAGACAGGAAAGCAGCCTTCCAATATCTGAGGGGCTGCCACAGAGAGGAGGATGGGGTCAAGCTATTCTCCAAGGTACCTGAAGGTCAGACAAGGAATAATGGATGGAAACTCAACAAGGAGAGATTTAACCTGGAAATAAGGATAAATTTTCTGATAGAACAATCAACCAATGGAACAGAAGTTGCCCTCAGAATTTGTGGGAGCGTCATCACTTGAGGCTTTCAAGAAGAGATTGGACTCCCATCTGTCAGAAATGGTGTAGGGTCTCCCACTTGGGCAGGAGGGTTGGACTAGATGACCTACAAGGTCCCTTCCGACTCTGATTATCTGTTACCTCTTACCTGTATGACATCGTTTTGGCACAGTCTGGTGAAAGCTGACTGAGGTTTCTCGCAGCTTTCACCTAATTAAAAGTAAAAGTTTTCCCCTCCCTCCCCCCCAAAGTCACTGGTCACGCTGTCCAGTCCAGGTGCTGGCTGATTGCTGGGTTACTGGCCCCTCCTCTGGCCAGCCACCTGTGAAAATGACCCTGGTTCCCATGGGAAAATGTCATTGCTTTGGCTACCAAATCCCATCTAGCTATTTCCCCACCTCCCACTGCTGTATGGCAACCAGATGGCTTCGGCCAGGCTCACTTCAGGGTTGACATCCTATTGATTTGGTCTTGTCCAGTTCTGTGGAGTTTTGAATTCAAATTTTGGTCCCAGTCCTTCACGCTAATTGAGAGAAATATTGTTCTGACCAAGGCTTCCGAGACCGTAATTACGCACATGCTTATTTTAAAAACAAGTCTTGTTTTATTGCAACGCTGGGAATTATTTTCATTCCCAGCCCGTAATGAGTCCCAAGCAATCCCTCGAGATAGGCACCCACCTTTCTTTCCTGTGAAGTGCTGCCAATAACAGAAGTATCAAATGAACGAGAGAAAAAAAACCAACCAAAGTACAAAGAGCTTCAAGAATGAATCTGAACCGAACGAACGACTTTGCTTCCTGCAAAGGTTTTGTCATCTTGGCCTGTCCTTTATCCCTTAGGGGATGGGCAGTCACCTCCCAGCCTTACTCCCGAGTCGCCCCTTTTGTTTCAGCTGCTCTCGCCTTCTAGCAGCTCTGTGCACACACGCACTGGGGACAGGCTCCCCTTGCTCCTCTGCCTCGCTGCTACCAGATTCCAGAGAGTCCGGAGTCAGCACCCCACTCCTAGATGGTCCGGGCCCCGTCTCCGCATCAGACACAGGACCCTCGTCCGAGTCCTCTCCAGACTCCCGGACTGATCCCCGTTCTTCCCCGCTGTCTGATTCCGCTGCCATTTGCACAGGCTGCCGGCGAACCACAAGAAATATAACTTGATTTATGAGCGCTCAAGTTTCACCACAGATCTCCCTACAAATGTTTTTTTCCCCCCTTCTCAGATTCTCGGGATAGGAACCAAGCGTTTGTTAACCTTAACGCACAGGGCTCAAGTCAAGCGATTCACTCAAGACTTACTAAAGCTTGTGAAGTCCCAGGCCAGTAAGCAAGTTGTGGTCAAAGAATTCTTACATGCTTATCACTGGTAGGTATGCATAGCTGTGGCAGGTATCTTTTTGCATTTCCAACTGCAAATGTAAAAATACTACCTTCTTGGTTTGTTTGTTTTTAAATTTAAATTGGGGTTTCAAGCGAGCCACCGATGTCTTCTCTCTGAATTAAAATTATCTGAAAAGCAGCAGTGAAATCCTCGAGGTTTAGAAGTTTACAGAATGGAAGGAATTGAAATGAGTTGATTTTAAAATCGATTGATTTTAAAGTTGGTTTTAAAAATACCAGAAATGGGCCAATTTGTGAGGGAGGGTCTCTTCCCAAATATATCTGGTTTTTTTTTTTAATTATTATTTCCATCAAATTACCATTATCACCTTGGAATCTTTAACCTGTGGGCAGTAAACCGCATATATCCTAAAATGAAGATTTACAGAAATACCTTACAGCGCTCCAGTAAATACATAGCTTGACAAACGATTGTTACATTTAAAAAGAATATATATTTTTTCCTCTGTGCTGGGTTTTAAACCTCAGAAAAATGTCCTGCTTTTCTTTTGGTTTCCCAGTAAGAGGCTTACCATGGGCAAGTAGAAAGCTTCCATTTTATGCTTGCTGAGCTAGTTCTACAGCCTGATCTTAGTGCAGAATTTTTCCCTTAAGTGTTTTGCCTGAATTATTAATCTCGTAGGTGTTTCTCGAAAGACTGGGACGTCACAGAATACGGAGTGTGTGAATTGGTGGATCTGATATCCGAAATTCCCAACACAACCATTTCTTTGTCTCAGCAAGATAATGAAATGGTCATTTGTATCCCGAAGAGAGGTATGTTGCTGCCTGTGATGACCCGGGGTGTGGCACAAAGGCAACCTAGTCAGATAATCAATAAGATTCCCTTTATTAGCTGCAACTTTGCACCCAATGTCCAGGTTATCTTCTGGCTGGAGAAAAACTCTCCCAGGAACAGCCTTTGGCTGCAGAAAGTCAAGTCCAAAACGCAGTCAACACAAACTATAAGTCCGATCAAGCCAAAATGAGTTAATTAGTTTGGCAGGGCCAGCAGCAAGAATTCCAGATGTGAAGGCACATGCAGCATTCAGTTCTTTTAAACTTTCATTCCCAGCTGTGGCTAATGAAGGGAATCAGGGCCCTTTCCTTCCCCATAAGCCATGCAACTCACGTTGCTCCCTTCTCTGTTCCTCCCTGCGTGCCCTAGGATGAAGAGGGGGTGGGCCTGGGTCTTCCTCTGAACTCCTTCTCCCTTGTTCTACCACTTCCCTGCTCTGCCCAGCTGGACTTTGCCCTTCCCCAGTTTCCTCCGCAGCTAACAAAGCCACACTCCCACTCCCTGTCAGCTATTCGTCTTCCTCCTCGGATTCAGACTCTGACAGGGGCATGACACCGTCTGTCGAAAACTTCAGTAAAATTCTTGTGTGTGTCTCTCTCTCTCAACATTGCTTGTCAAACAAGGTGGATACAGGCAGTGGACAACTTAAAACAGTCTGTTTAGCGACCGTTCGAAGTTACAACAGCAGTGAAGAAAGTGACTTATGACCATTACAGCATCCTCCATGATCAAAATTCAGCTGCTTGGCAACAGACTCATATTTATGACAGTTGCAGTGTCCCGGGGTCATGGGCTCCTCTTTTTGTGACCTTCTGACAAGCAAAGTCCATGGGGAAGCCAGATTCACTTAACAACCGTGTTACTAAATGAATTATGTGATTCTCTTAACAACCGTGGCAAGGAAGGTCGTAAGATGCGGCAAAACTCACTCAAGGACAGTCCTGCTTAGCAATCGGACTAAGCCAGGACTACCTGTATTATGACAAAATATCAGAGGAGAAGGTGTTCTTCTCAAAGAGCGGTGAAGATCCAGGAGACAAGTGTGTAAATCCCCAGCTGAGTTAAGGAATAAAAAAAAAATAGCCCATTTTGCCAGGCAGGCTGTTGCTTATTGACTGGTGAGGTTTATTTATTGTTTCGATCGACTAGGACTGTAGCTAGTGAGAAGATAAAGCTATTTCCCCCCTAATGGACTTTGAAGCAGATTGTCTTTTAGAGAGAAAAGATTTCAGTTGCGGGAAATCTTGCGATCTCCACTCCTACCTCCAATACTCCCCCTTTTTTTAGCTCCATAAATCTTTCCAAAGAGAGTCAATAAAAACCACACTTGTCAAAGACACTGAATTTAGACAGATGCCCGCGAGGCTGACAGTTTTAAGATTCTCTCTTCAATTCCTGAAGGAAAGGCAGGGTGTCAAGCCTGGAAAATGAACGAAACCCCTGAAAGGTTAAAAAAAAAAAAAAGAGGCAGAAGGCACAAATACAATCCTGGAAATTCAGAAAATGCTGCAGATGTCAGTGCTTTGTGTAGACCAGAATTCAGTTGGTTTGATGACAGAGAAGGAAAAGCCGGATTTATCCGGACTTCATTCCCAAATATTCACACTACATCAGTGCTCCTTAATTTTATTTTATTTTTGGGGATCCCCTTTCCAGTTTTAAAAATTAGGGAGGACCCTAAAAGAGCTTTTGTCTGTATGGGTTATATTTATTGATGTTTATCGTATTGAAAAATTTAAAATATCGCCGTTGTAGAATATTTATTGGGTTGTGTAAAACAGCAATATTAAACAGCCCTTAGATATTTTTCATGAAAAAGCCTTATATTTGAGCAAATTAAAGATAATGCTGGGAAGAATGACCCCATTTTAAATCTTTGAAAATATCCTCAATATCTGACAAATAACTTTGATAGTGAGAGCCAGTTTGTTGTAGTGATTAAGGTGTTGGCCTTAAAAAAGAAAGAAAGAAGACAGTGAGTTCTAGTCCTGTCTTGGGAATGAAAGTCGGCTGGGTGACTTTGGACAATCACCAGGCAATTGTGAGTTCTAGTCCCACTTTAGGCCTGACTTTGGGTGACTTTGGACCAGCCACTTTCTCCCCTCTAACCCACCTGACAGTTGTTGTGGGGGGAGGAGAAGGAGGAAGGAGTTTTCCATATATTCACCCTCTTGAGTTATTTACAAAAATAATGAAAGTAGGGTACAAATAAATTTGATTTTTACGGGGCCCCAAGATCAGCTTGGAGGGAACGAGAGGGCTCCTCAGGCCACACTTTTAAGAAACATTGCTAAATGTGCTCCCTTTCCATCTTCAGAACGTACCAAGGAAGAAATTGAAAGGACAAAGCAGTTCTGCAAAGAGGTGATTGATCTGCTGCGCCACCAGCCCTATTTCCGCATGCCATTCAACAAATTCATCCCTTCCTACCACCATCACTTTGGGCGCCAGTGCAAACTGGCTCATTACGGATTTACCAAACTACTTGAACTTTTTGAAGCCATACCTGACGTCTTACAGGTAGGCAATTGCCAGAGAAAGAATGGTGGATCCTGGAGGGTGGAGTAAAAGGGGGACTCAGCCTAGAATCCTTCCGTAGTCACAAAAGAACTATATTTCACATTATTGAAATACATGTGGACTGGGTGATAACACGGTGTTTACATAATCGAATGCAGAGGTAGTCAACGTGTCCAAAACGTACATGATGATAACATTCTAGGTTACTCTTCCTAATCTGCTTGTTCTGGGATTAGGATTATGGTTGCTAAATGAGGACTACCTGTACGTTCATGAGCTCGCTGGAGAACCAGCTTAACCCAAGAGAGATATTTACCTGCTATCTTTGCCTTTCATGGCTTTTGAAAGAAAAAGTCACTGAGCTTTGGATCCTACAGTTGCTCTCAGTATTCTAGCATTGCCTTCTCTGGGCGCTCTTGAATAACCCAAGCCGACATTCATCTCCAGGTCCTGGAATGCGGCGAGGAGAAAATCCTGACACTAACCGAGACAGAACGAGTCAAAGCTTTAGCTGCCCAGTTTGTGAAGCTGCTCCGTTCCCAGAAGGATAAATGCCTCCTGATGGCAGACGTCCTTGCCGAATACGCTAAAACGTTCGGCTACCCATTGCGTCTCCAGGACTACGATGTTGGCTCCGTTCCAGCTTTGATGCAGAAACTTTGCCACGTCATCAAGGTAGGTTTCCAGGTGCTCTTGTGGTTCGCTGGCAGCCTGTGCAGATGGCAGTGGAATTGGACAGTGGGGAAGAATAGGGACCAGTCCGGGAGTCTGGGGAGGACTTGGACGCGGGTCCTGCATCCAATACAGAGATGCGGCCAGGACCATCTGGGAGTGGGGTGCTGACTCAGGAGCCTTCGGAGCCTGGCAGCAGCGAGGCAGAGGAACAAGGGGAGCCTGTTCCCAGTACGCATGTGCGCAGAGCTGCTAGAAGGCAAGAGCAGCTGAGACAAAGGGGGCAACTCGGGAGTAAGGCTGGGAGGCGATTGCCTCTCCCATAAGGTATAAAGGAAGTGCAAAGGTAGAGAAACCTTTGCAGGAAGCAAAGTCATTTGCTCTGTTCGGATTAATCCTTGAAGCTTTGTGTGGACTTTGTACTTCGGTTGGCTTTTTTATAGTTCATTTGGCACTTTAGTTGTTGGCAGCAATTCAAAGGAGAGAAAGGTGGGTGCTTATCTCGAGGGACTGTTTGGGACTCATTACCGGCTGGGAATGAACATAATTCCCAGCGTTGAAATAAAACAAGATTTGTTTTAACTGTGTGCTTAATTACGGTCTCAGGAAGCTTTGGGTCAGAACAGATGCCACGTGAGGAAAAATTAACCTTGAGCTGAGGAATCCAAACCACATGGAAACGCCAGCAACTCAAAACACCTTGTGAAATCTTCCTTCTAGAGTTCTGAACGACGGGGACAGTCTCTTCCCCAATCTCGTGTCCTCCTCCCAGAATTCCCACCTGCTGTAACTCTGCCAGCGATTGGGGCTTTTCGTCAATAGGACGGAAGGTTGATATGGTGTCTTCTTTCAATCCCTCCAGGTGGCCAATACAGACTCTGGGAAACAGCTGCAGCTGATCAATAAAAAACCCCTCCGGACTCTCACTTCACACCTTCTGGTGCTTCTCATGACGCTGGACGAAGCCACCATGGTTTCTGTGGAGGAGCTGAAAAGGCGTTACGAGGTTGTCCAGGGGACTGTCCTTAACCCATGTGAATACGGCTTCATGACCTTTATCGAGCTTTTGATGAGCGTGCCTTATTTTATCGAGGTGAGGAGGACAGCTGGGCTCTTCACACAGAGACCGTGGAGAGCAAAGGTCCCTCTGGGTCTGCCGGCCCTAATAGTTAATTATTTGATGTTCCTCTATGTATAGATCTAGCCATTCTCCAACCTAGCAAATGGGGTTGGAATTGAAATGCCATGGGTGGGGTTTTTATTTTAGACTGGAGCTGTGCAAAACTTTACAAAGTCAAACATTCCATTCCATTTGATGTGAACTCTTCTGATCTCCTTGGAAGTCTTTTGAGGTTGGTACGGATTGTTCCAACCTTCCCAGAAGTAATGTGGCCTCAACATGGGTCATAACCCACAAGTTGTGGGATCCAGGGGGTGATGGAAGAGAATATTTGTGGCTCAGGGTTGAACGGTGGAGTCCTTGATGCACCCTGAGCTTGGCGGTTTTCTCGCAGATGTTTCGTCACCCAGCTAGGTAGCATCATCATGACGTCACCTAGTTGAGTAATGGAAACATCTGGAAGAAAGCTCAGAGAACACTAAGGACCCCACAGTCCAGCTGACCACCAGCCACATCTGGAGGGTGTAAAATGCCCATGCCAAGGATGGGATCTTTTGGTTTCCAAATACATTGCATCTTCTATAGCTAGTCCTCGGCTTACAACCCCAGTTTTAGCCCAAAGTTTCTGTTGTTAAGTGAGACAATCAAGTGAGTCTTGCCCCCATTTTACGACCTTTCTTTCCACCATTGTTAAGTGAATCACTGCAGTTGTTAAGTTACTGACACATGTCAGGGCTCCGGCAGTCACCCCCATTTAAATCATGAGTCTTGAGCCAAACTTCCAAAATTTCAAAATGATTTATTAGGAGTAAACATGCCAGCACTGCCTGGGTGTAGCCGACTCTGAGACACATCATTCATTGTCACCCTTGACCCTGGTTTCGCCTCCACCCCCTGGGTGTATCGCAACTCATATTCTCCAATGGGACACATCCATAGCCAAGAGTCATCAATCATGCTCTTATTAGAATTTTGCGTGGCAGAAACTTCCGTCACCTAGTTACTTATCTTTGAAAACATTTAAGGAATGCAGTTTCGGTTTGCAAGCTGCTGCACTGCTCCCCCTCTCCCTTTCTGTTGGCAACTCTAAAAAGACCGTAGAAATATTTTATGAGTTGACCCAACACGGTTGTGAAGTGAATCCAGCTTGGCTTGTCAGAAGGTCGCAAAAGGGGATCCCCGTGACCCTCCCAGGATGCTGCAACCCGTCATAAATATGAGCTCGTGGCCAAGCTTCCGAATTTCGATCGCGTGACCACAGGGATGCTGAAATGGTCGTAAGTGAGCAAAGCAGTCATAGGTCACTTTTCCCAGTGCCTTCGAACAGTCGCTAAATCCGCTTTTGCAAGCCGAGGACTTTGTGTAGTTCCTACTCGAGAATATTCCTTCCTTTGTGAAAGCCATGAGGACTAGTTAACATGGGAGTCCTTTCTTGATATCCCCTACAGGTTTTTACTGATGGTGATGTGGAATATGTGAAGCTTACAGACCTGTATATTTTTGCCAAGAAAGTGAGGTTGCTCCTTCATACCTACCATTACCAACAGATCTTCCTCCACGAGTTCCCAACCGCCTATAGCAAGTACACAGGAGAAGCCCTTCAACCCGATGCCTATGGCTTCAATAACCTTGAGGAGCTTCTGGGGGCAATTCCATCGGTTTGTAGCGGCTCCTGGTTTTCTCTTTTCTCTTAAAATGGGCAGGATTCTTAACTGTCCAAATCAGTGGTCGCCAACCAGTGGGCCGGGGACCACTGGTGGTCCACGAGAAAATTGTGGTGGTCCGCAGAGAAATGTTACCCCCCAAAACAATTAATCCAGGCTGTGCGGGAACACAAGGCTGTGCCGCCCACATGGCCCGTGGGAACACAAGGCTTGCGTCGCTTGCATTGCGAACAACATGAGGTAGTGAGGGGAGGAGGGAAAGGACGGAGGGTGGGAACTTGCCCCACACGCCTGGCCTGGCTACTGGGCTGCTTCTTTCCGCTTCTTTCTTCTTCTGCTTTTGGCTGCACACAAGGGAAGCAGCAGAAGTCTTTCTTTCTCTCCCCCTAACTCCGCCAGAAATGAGTCTTTGGGACCCTGCAAGGCCTCCTGCCCCAAGAGGCTCATTTCTGGCGGAGTTTGGGGGAGAGAAAGAAAGACTTCTGCGGCTTCTGCTGCTTTCCTTGCATGAAGCCAAAAGTCTCTCTCTCTCTCTCTCTCCCCCTGAGAACGGAGCTGGTAACAGTATCCTGCCATCCCAAATAAAGAATGATCAATTGGTAGGAAAACGGGGTGGGGAATTTTCCTGCAGTCTTTTTGGGGGGATTTTCCCAGGGTCTCTTGTCTGCGGGATTTAAAATTATGAGTTTGGTGGTCCCTGAGGTCCAAAAGGTTGGCGACCCCTGCTCCAAATAGTAGCTTTCTGTAGTCGTCATAACCGGATGGGCCCTCAGACCCTGGCTCCCCTATTGTTCCCTTAGAACTAAAAGGGTAAAAAAATTAAACAAGGAGTTACTTTCCTACGATATCGTAACTGGGCCCATCCTGCCGTTAACGTTCTCGATGTTCTCACTTGAAAATGTCCATTTTATATCTTTAGCTGACCTGTAAAATTCATAACAACTAAAGTGAAGGTGGCTAGCCGTTCAGAAATCTGTGAATAAAATTCTCTCGGGAAGGCAACTCATGGCGTCTGGCAGCTGTATTACTTCAGGGGTGTTTTGTTTAAAATACTTTTGTGGAATGTCAAATCCATTTTTTCCAGAAAAGAATAGATGTCAGGATTCCAGCAGTTACCCCCAATCAAATCATGAGTCTCGAGCCAAACTTCAAAAGGATTTATTGGGAGTTAACATGCCAGCACTGCCTGATGTGAGACACATCATTCATTGTCACCCTTGACCCTGGTTTTCCCCCCACCCCCTGGGTGTATCGTAATTCATATTCTCCAATGGGACACCTCCATAGCCCAGAGTCATCAATCAGGATCTCCAGTTAGAATTTTGCATGGCAGAAACTTCAGTCACCTAGTTACTATCTTTGAAAAACTATTTATGGAATGCACTTTCGGTTTTGCAAGCTGCTGCACTGCTCCCTCCTCCGTTTCTATTGGCAACTCTAAAAAAAAAAACCCACAGAAATATTTTGTGAGTTGACAATAGATTTATTTATCTGTACAAGTTAGCCCTCGACTTAACGACCATCATTGAGCCCATAATTTATGTTGCTAGCAGAGTCTGCCTGCATCGAATGGGGCATAGCAGCAACTGCCGTCTTAACTTTACAATGAAATCGTGATTTGGGCTAATTTTGCGACGTTTTCATGGAAACTCATCCAGTTAAAGTGTGAGTGCAAGTTAACGAAAGAGGGAAGATTGCAAGAATGCCGAGTATAAGGGGACCTTTAAGGCAGCAAGAAACCTACCTACTGTAAGTTCACCTTAACTTCCATCTCACCTGTGGCCTTTCTTGCCTTTAATCAGGTAGTATGGATAAAAGGCCACGGTCATAAGAAGATTGTCGTTCTGAAGAACGACATGAAAAGTAAGTCATCCCCAGTGGGAGTTAACTTTTCTTCTTCTTTTTTTTTGTGGGTGGGTGGTTGGGAAATATAGCCCAAATATCTTTCCCGGTAAGATTGTCTTGTCGAAAGGGAACGCTTGCTAACCTCCTCCCTTCCGTTAGCTCGTTTTAGCTCTCCCAGTCTTCCCCTGGCTGACGAAAGTTACGAGAACGAACTTGTCGATGGTGATGGACAATCCACGAAGGCAGCAGGAGCGGACAAATCCTTAGATTTAATCCTGGAGGCACCCAACCTTGGTAAATGGATTGATTGATTACTGGCCGCTGTTTTGCACCTAGCAATGCTGAGACTTGTAGGCCTTGAATGGATAAGCCAAAAGATAACAGTATTATCTAATAACATTTATTAGGTAATCATTATGATCTAAGAACAGAGAATAAAGAGCAGATCAGCCATGGAGCAGGGATAGAATTAGGGCTGTTCTTTTCCTTCTTTTAATTCCCAGCCCAATTCTTTTTATTTATTTATTTGTGACTTGCCTTTTTTTTTTTTTCTTTGCCAAATAACTCAAGGTGGCAAACATATCCAATTGCCTTCCTCCTCCTCCTGTTTTCCCCACAACGACAACCCCGTGAGGTGGGTTGGGCTGAGAAAGAGAGGGACCGACTGGCCTAAGACCACCCAATTGGCTTCCGTGGCTAAGATGGGACTAGCGCTAGAACTCAGGCCCTCCCACTTACTAGCAGGATGTCTTCACCACTAGAGCCTACTACCAGAAACCAAGCGTGAATTTGCAAGCTTGCGTTTGATGCAAGTCCTGGGGTCACTGCCCTTGTGGGTTTCTAAGGAGTTGTCTTCATTTTCTTCCCTTTCTGCAGTCTCCCATCAAACCGAGGAAGAGCTGCTCTGCCTCCCCAAGGTATCCCCCGTGGATCTTTTATGCGAGCCGGTCCCTTCCTGCCTTCCCTCCCCGCAGCTGAGACCAGATCCAGTGGTTCTTGAATCAACCGATCTCATCCGTTTCGAAGAGCATTCACCAATCCCTTCTGGTAAAGGTTAACGTCGCTTTTGAAAATCCGGCTCCACTCAATAGAAGCAAAAAGTACTTCTTTTAGGAGCCATTCCTTAGCAAAACCTTACAGGTATATCAGAAGACTGCAACTCCCAGAATTCCAATGGGCTCCAAAGTCTGGGATTGGTCTATCCGGTTAATACCTTAAAGAAATCGAGCGGACATCTTTTCTTTCCAGCATTAGCTGAGCATTTCTTAGAGTTCCGAGTTTCATTTTTCTTTTATATGTGAACATTTTTAACGCCGCCTCATCTGACAGGCTGCATTTCTTCTGTGGAAATAGTAACAATTCAATTGAAGGCAGCCTCTTTTGCTTTGCCATATTCAGAGTCAAGTTTATTAACTTTCTTTTTTCTTTTGGAGACATTGGCATTCATGAAAGATTACCGTTTATTAAAGCTGAACAATCTGTCCAGACCTTTTCCTTTTCTTCTTCTTCTTCTTCTTCTTCTTCTTCTTCTTCTTCTTCTTCTTCTTCTTCTTCTTCTTCTTCTTCTTCTTCTTCTTCTTCTTCTTCTTCTTCTTCTTCT